GTTTTAATATAAAAATATGTTCTTATAAGAATTTGTTAAAAACAGAGTTAAAATAGTATTTTATTATAGAAAGAATACTGGGCTGGAAGCCTAGAGACTTGTTTTATCCTAGCCCTCCCAATATCTTTTTGGTCACTTCATCTGTAAGATAAGCTTCTTTTTAAATCCAAGAATCTGCATGTTGGCAATTATAGTCATGCTTTGCATAACGATGTTTCAGTAAAGGACAGACCTCATATACAACTGTAATCTCATACGATGATAACAGAACTGAAAAATTCTTATCACCTAGTGACATCGGCCATTGTAACATTAATCATGTTTGTGCTGATGCTGTTGTAAACCTAATATGCTGCCAGTTGTATAAAAGTATAGCATATATTGATAGCATATAATACTTGATAATAAATGACTATGTTACTAGTTTAGGTTTTTACTGTACCATACTTAGAGTGTCCTCCTTCTACTTATAAAAAAGAAGATAACTGTAAAATAGCCTCAGGCAGGTCTTTCAGAAGATATTGCAGAAGATGGCATTGTTATCATAGGAGATGACAGCTTCATGCCTGTTATTGCTCCGGAAGCCCTTCTAATGGTACAAGATGTGGAGGTACAAGATGTGGAAGTACAAGACGTGGAGGTACAAGATATGGAGGTGCAAGACAGTGATATTGATGATCCTGACCCTGTGTAGGTCGGGCCTAATGTGTGTGATTGTGTTTTAGTTTTTGACAAAAAAAGTTTAAAAGTAAAAATAAATTAAATTTTTTAGAAATACAAGAAAGCTTATAGAATAAGGATGTAAAGAAAAAATATTTTTGTTCAGTTGTACAATGTGTTTGTGTTTTAAGCTAAGTGTTATTACAGAAGAATCAAAAAGTAAAAAAAAAAAAGTCTATAAAGTAAAAATGCTACAATAAGCTGTGAGCCAAGGTGGATGACAGGCAGGGTGGAGGCGACCTTGGAGCAGCCCTTGGAGGACACGATGAAGAATCTGTCCATTGTTTGAGTCCCATGCACAGATTCACAAGGGCTTAATCTGGGCTGCCGTGGGAACCTTTAGGATGAATGTGCTGGAGTGCTATCTGTTCTAGCCCAGCAAGCAGCTAAGCTAACCTCTGACTCCACTGATATTCTGGTGGTGTGCCTAGAATCAGATAATGGGAACATTATGATTCAGAAACATGATGCTATCACACTAGTAGTTCACAAAATAGCTTCTTGAAATTTCATTTGAATTCTCTAGCAGCCTTTCATAGGGACTCTCTCATACCTATGTTAATTATATTATAGAACTACTAAAGTTCCAGCAGTTAAGCTATTCATTTAATGGACATTGGGCACTTTTCTATTTATTTTAGAGTAAGTTGCTTCTTAACACTTTCTTGACTGACCTATCAAGTAAGAAAGGATCATGCTTTGAAGCAGCAGTTACAAGTCACTTTGTATATAGAATTTTGTTATGTTCAATAAATCTGTTTGGAAGGGAAAAAAAGTTACAATAAGCTAATGTAAATTTATTATTGAAGAAAGAAAAATATTTATTGCAAATTTAGTGTAGCCGCAGTACATGGTCTTTATAAAATCTACAATAGTGTACAGTAATATTCCTAGACCTTCACATGCACTTGCTGCTCGCTCATTGACTCACCTACAGCAACTTATAATCCTGCAAGCTCTGTTCATGGTAAGTGCCCTATATAGGTATATCATTTTTTTCTCTTCTATACCATATTTTTTACAGTACTTTTTCTGTTTAGGTATGTTTATTTTTTTTATTTTTTTTTTAATTTTTTTTTATTTCAGCATATTACGGGGGTACAAATGTTTAGGTTACATATATTGCCCTTGCCCCACCCGAGTCAGAGCTTCAAGCGTGTCCATCCCCCAGAAGGTGCAAGATGCCTCCCCTTCTTCCCTAGTTTAGTTTTACAGTACTTTTGGGATTAATATTTGCAAATATTTACAAATACCAGGTTTTTGAAAGACAGTAGTTATGTATTAAGGGACTATTTTAATAAGTGTCTGCATGCAGGGAATCTATTTTTGAGGCACAAATTGAGATAAATGGTTATTATTAGTAAGAATAAAG